GAGACGCAAGTATCTAAAACTTCTTTAAAATATAATCATGCAGATATATTTTAAAATCTATATTAGCAATATATTTTGACCATTTTCGTCTATTTTAAAATATATTACAAAATATCTGTAATAGTATACGTTTTGTGCCATATGGGGTATAATGATTTTTTTTTCACTTTAACATTTCAAAACCAACTTAAATTTAGATATTCAATCATCGAAAAGGTGTATTTAAATAATTGCTTGTAAATAAATAAGTAAATTAATTAATAAAATTAAAATAAAATAAAATAAATAAAATTAAAATTAAATTAAATTAAATTAAATTAAAATAAAATAAAATTAATTAATTAAATAAAATAAAATAAAATTAATTAAATAAAAATTAAATTAAATTAAATAAAAATTAAATTAAATAAAAATTAAATTAAATTAAATTAAATTAAATTAAATTAAATTAAATTAAATTAAATTAAATGTCCTTTAGTTTCAGTATCACCTGTCGACGTAATACAAACTGGAGAAACCAGTCACTGGCATCTACATCTACATCAGTTGCTTGCTTTCTGAAATGTGTGGAATCTTCCAAATGACACACCGATGCCCGCCAGCACAGAAGGGCAGAATAACCAGTCAGACCACATGAACAAAGTCAGACTGTGAGAGTTTGAGCAAACACACACACAGGAGAGATTCCTCGAGCGCCTACACACATCTCAGACAAACGTAACAAGAGGTTAAACAAACAGAAACGACTGAGGGTTTAATGAGACAATTCCACAACACTGTTAACAGCTGCCAGAGGCAATAAAGACTGTATAACTCGACTGATTCCGGACATGTACACTGAACCTTATTCAACCTGCTGAATAATTAATTATGATGATTATCACTTTCCCCTCACTGTCACAGAGCTCCACGCTTACATTTAGATGCAACAGATGGCTAGAGGACTTTATCCAAGAGCCTGTAGAGAGATGAGCCACGATCGCGATCATGGATTTTCCTTAACGCTTTAAAATAAAAGATTTGGATGTAGCATGTTGACCTGGAATGGTAACTTTACAGCCTACTATTTTAATAGCACGTGAAACAGCATGTAGTAAATAATAATTTATGTGTTCAACACTATTATGCTTCTTTGTTGTCCCTGTTGTAAAAAACTATAGAACCATCACAGACTACAAACATTACAAACCATCAACTTTTAACTATTAAAAAATGGTTTTCTGTAGTGTGCTTTGGGACATAAGCCACCAATAGAAAGTGACCAGTTACCAGTAGAGACCCACAGGGTCCATTACAGTTTCCATTAAAACCAATACATGTCCCATTATAACCAGTAAAACCATTACAAATTTTGTGATGGTGTCTATTATTATTTTTTTCAGCAGGGGTCAAAACCTTGAGTAACATTGACTGAAGTCAATTTTATAGCCATTTAATGTTCTTCACGGTACGTAATGTCTTCAAATAGCACTAGTCAGTAAAAACATCCTATTGTTGACCTTTGCTGAGATACTAGACTCAACATTAATTTCTGATAATGTCGAGGCACACTGAACTGAAGCAGACAGCGTGTGACGGCGATAAAAGAGGATAAGAGAAGATTATGTTGGCGGTGAGCGCACAGATGGAGGAGAGACAGCAGTCTTGAGCTCTCATCCTTCATCCGGCTGTTTAATTGGCTCTCAGGAGCGACAGAAGAGTTCAGAAGATCCCATGACACACGGTGATATGGCACGTTTGAGCCCTGATGCATGAGGCCAGAGATCTTCACACACCTGTTGCATGTTAACACGGCTGCTGACCTCTAGACTTCAGTCGAAAACAAATCAGGGAAAAATACGTTATACCTGTAGGTGATGCTATATAGATGTAAGGGACAATCCACAGCTAGCTGTGCATAAAACGATTTTATTGCACGACGTGGAGGCAAAGAACCACCCGACGCAAAGCAGACTGTGATTTACCTGAAGCTGTGCATCTCTCTCAACAAAGTTTAGTTACTATTTTACCCGCTCGTTGCTGAGAAATATAATGCATCGATTCACTACCGAAGTTATTTTATTAATAGAAGTCGTGGAGCAGCGATGACAAGGTTCTGTGCTCCTGGATGTTTCTCTGTGTGTGTGCGTGTTTGTTTGTGTGCATCAACTAAAGCAGCCAATCAGAATCGAGTATTCAGACAGACCATATACATATATATTCAGTTTAACGTGCAGATATTCCAGTTTAATACACATAGACAGCTTATTCTCTGCATACTAAAATAGTAATTGTTTTTGCCATTCTGTTTGGTGACACTAAAATATTATACACTTCAGATTAAGAGGAGTTAATTTTTTTAATTATAAAAACTATTAAACTTTCTAAATTAATAAATAAATAACAGTCAACACCAAAAAAAAGAAAAAAACTCTTGGTTTACATATTTTTATAGGCTGTTTTTTCTGTTTTGCATATTATGACTAGGAAAAATTGCCAAAAATATATTTATTTGTAAATGAACAACATTTAGCCAAAAAGGTCTACCAGTTTCGAATCAAATCAAACATTACACGTATACAATAGTTCAGTGAAATGACATGTGAACGAACCAAATGCTTGAGGTCTGAGCATCTGCATCACCAGAAACGGTGAAGCCAACCTGACACACTCCAGTTAAAAAGAACAAGTGCTCGTTATGTTTGACAACAAGTGTGCAGCTATTTCCTTTCACAAAACCCCACAAACATTCCCATCTGAATGCAGTTCATCGAGAGAGAGATTTTACGACCAGACGCCTCGTCCACACCCAGATATGTTCATCTGTGACAGTGAAGGACTGCTCAGACAGCTATGCCAGGCGTCTGCAGATGATCGCAGAACACACCTCTTGCTTTAGTATGAGAAAATGCGAATTTGACATGCGTCAACGCTAATTATAAACTTTTCTATTACTAACCGATTTTTTGCAGCTTAAAAGCAATGTATAAATCAACAGAGCACTGCGGTTATGACATTTTTGTAGACCGACCTGTAAGTTACCTAATAGGATGTTCCACTGGCTTTTACACATTGATAATCTGCTGAAGAAGCTTAAACCAAAACCGGGGTTCTTTTATCGTTTAAAAAACTGCTTTCCTTATGAGGCAAGAAGGAACTAGTGAGAGTACTTTTTTTCCTCTGTAATTGATTATGGTGACCTAGTATATATGCATGCATCTTCTTCATCTATATTAAAGAAACTGGACTCTGTCTATCATGCAGCGTTACGCTTTGTTTGTGGTGCAGATTCACGTACACTTTACGAATCATTGGCATGGTCTTCACATCATAGGAGGAAATTGCACATGTATATGTTTATTGTTAAGGCACTTTTAGGTAAGTAGCCTTCTTATATTTCAAATCTCCTAATTCTTTACACAAATAGTTACTGTACTAGATCTCAATCGTTCATTCGGTTAAAAGTTTCCTTTTATGCCCTTATCTAATTAAATTAGAATCATTGCCATCCCTGGGTACTTTTAAACGGCTTTTGCAAACTGTTTTAAAGGAGTCTTGTACATGTTTCGCTTGATCTTACTTTGATCAATTGTTTTGTACGAGTATTTTGTTTTGTAGTTGGTTTTGTGCGCAACTTTGTGTGCTGCCGTCTTGACGAGGTCTCCCTGGAAGAAGAGACTGTGAAGTCTCAATGGGATTCTCCTTGCAAAATAAAAAATTAAATAAAATAAAATAAAAAAAATTCATTTCATTCATGTCCACAGCCCAGTTATGGACCAACGGCGCTGGGTAGATTACTTACAAATTGTAGTCCATTTCCGATTTCAGTACGATTAGTAATGTAGTCTATTACACATTTTAGGTCATATAATCAGACTACTTTTTGATTACTTTTGACCTACCTCGTTTATCACATTAATTTAGGTCAGAATAATCTTGTACCGTATTGATATAAAAATACAAAGAGAAAGAAGATACATTTCATTCGTTGTTATTAACAACATTACACATTATATTATGTCAAGATTTCCCAAACTGGGGTTTTAGAAGGACCTGCAGAACCTGAACTCACCTGTTTGTGAGTTTAATGAAAAAACGAATAATTAATTAAATCATAAAAATGTTAAATTAAAATAAATACTTTTAAAAGAACAACAATCAAAATAAAACACTTACTAAAAAAAAAAAGATGAAATATTTTACTTGTTTAGCTGCATGTCATGTGACCATTAACCATTGTCAGAGAACCATGGACATGCAAATGTGTTAATTAATTATTAATTGATTACCTTAAAATCTCAGGCAGGGCTTCAAGTAAATATATTAGGTGAAAGAGGTTCAGCAAACAAAAAGTTGGGAATCCCTACGAAATAATGTGAATTTGTGCAATTTATTGTGTTATTGTATATTGTGTTAATCGCATCCAAAATAAAAGTTTTTGTTTATATAATATATATATATGTGTGTGTGTGCGTGTATATTTATTATGTATTTATAAATACACACACATACAGTATATATTTTAGAAATATTTACATGCATATACTTTTATATTCTTATATTTAAATATATTAAATATATTAAGATAACATCTTTTTCTTAAATGTATACATGCACGTGTATACATAATAAATATACACAGCACACACACATATATTAGGAAAAAGCACTTTAAGATTGTTTTTTCCAAAGTTTGCATGTCTGTAACTCAAGACATTTTAAATACATCTTAATATCATTTTAGATTTTAATAATAAACCTATAAATCTCTGTGTAAAAATGATGATGCTGCCATCTTTCTAAAGTCAGATGAATAACTCAGTAAATATTCATCCATGGCATTGAATATTTCGGCTTTCTTCTTCATTTATGTATTTCTTTCACTGAAATGCCCCGATGAGCGTGTGTGTGTGTATGACGTCTCCAAAGATGATTAATTTAAACTCGCTGAGCAATTCAGAAACTATGTCACACCTTGTAGTGTTCACGAAAGCTCAGTTTGCGCCGTTTAACCATCTTACCGACAGATTGTTGTCGTAGAAGAAGGCATCGAGCAGTTTGACGATGTACTGATGGTTGCAGGACGCTAAGATGTCGATCTCCACCATGTAGTCCTCCAGCTCCTCTTCACTTTTGGTTTCGATGACTTTGGCTGCAGCTAGTGCACCGGTTTCTTTATTCTGGGCCTGAAACACAAACCAGTTTGCATCAAAACAAAGTCAGTGTGATTCACATGATTACATCCCGCTGATATTCCCGTTTCATGCTCGTCGCTTCGGTGCGGTTATTTCACCAGGCCTCTGCGATTCAGCTTTAGTTCTCCGTTAGAGCTCAAATAACGAGCATTACTGCTGTTTTACTGCACATTGATAAAGGTTTGATTCATGTTTGAATGGAAAGGATTGGGGAAAAGATAGGAAAGCCATTTAATATTTTGATGTAATATAACATGCATCAATAAATCAGTGCAAGTAAGAGTGTTAATGATACAGTTAGTAAAAAAATAATACTTTAAAATAATGTGTCAAGTTCTTTTGGTTGTACTTTTCTAAGATTCCATGTTTTATATGCATTTTATCTGTATTCTTCTATTGTATTTTGGTTTAATGTTTTTGGAAAACGTTTATACCAAACGTCTCAGTTTAATGAATCTTAAAAAGTAAAAAAGTAATTTAGATTTTAATAATAAACCTATAAATCTCTGTGTAAAAATGATGATGCTGCCATCTTTCTAAAGTCAGATGAATAACTCAGTAAATATTCATCCATGGCATTGAATATTTTCGTTACATTATTACATTTATGTATTTCTTTCACTGAAATGACCCGATGAGCGTGTGTGTGTATGACGTCTCCAAAGATGATTAATTTAAACTCGCTGAGCAATTCAGAAACTATGTCACACCTTGTAGTGCGGCCATATAATCACTTTATCACTAATTTCTTTTGATGTGGACATCTTAACGTCTTTGATCCATGAACAAACCTAGCTTTGTCATAAAAATTTAATTACCTTATTTAAATTTTTTTGCATTTTTGTCACACCAAAGACCTAAAGACCTTTTGATTCAATTTTTCAAATACTGATGAGCAGCGAAGCAGCTTTGTTACCTTTTTTCCAGATATTACACATTTTTTTTACACTGACATTTCAGCCCAAGCAAACCATATTTTCAGATTTTTTTATGCATTTCCAACATAAACTATAAATAACTAAATAAAGGTATATAGTCAAACAGAAGCAGTTTTCACGTGTGAGATTTGAGAAACATGTTAGTACGCAGCATTAATCGAGGTGGAGTCGGTCATTGTGGTTAGATGTTTTTAGAGGAAACTGTTGCCAAACCACTCAAAAACAAGACTTCCGCTTTTGTCATAAAAAATCTATTTAAAGGAGTCATATGATGTGATTTCAAGTTTTGCTTTCTCTTTGGAGTGTTACAAGCTGATTGTGCATAGATAAGATCCCTGAAGTTGCAAAGACTGAAGTCTTAAAACCAAAGAGAACATGATTTGGCACAACTAACAGACAGTAAGACTTGCATACGTTTAACTGTGATAAAATGTATCACAGAAGATAATTAGTTTTATACAAAATAGGGGGGAAAAAAACAACGTTAGTGTATTGTCAGTGGTTGCCATGACATTGCTATGCGGTTGCTTGGGTGTTTGTGTGGTTGCTAGGGTCATGCGGAGGAGTCCAACTGTGCAAATGAATCACACGCTGATGTGATGCTTGACCTAGTAAACACGACTAACTTACTTCTGTCTTAACCTCCGTTCAACGAAACAACAGGAAAAGAAACTCCACACCCTCTGAATATGAAGAAGCACATCAGAAGACCTGCTAACATCTTCCTTGTCATGATTTAGAGGTGTGCGATCGTTATTATCTATGGTAGTATCGTAGCTGACATTATGGAGTAAGTCACTCAAAAAACAAACAGTCAGAGACCATAAGCATTGACTGCCTGACGAAACCTACTAGAATTAAGTTTGAACGTTTCTATAACGCAAGTTACGAAAGCAAAAAACACCTCTGTATGGATTTCGTTTTTTATATTTATAAGATATGCCACACAAGCAAAAGTGCTGTTTTCCTGAATATCAGCACAATCGCAAGAGTTGTATTGATTTTATACAATTCAGCAAACAAAAATTTAATGTTGAGTGAGTTACATTTTAGACACAATACTGTTATTTTTTTCTTCTTGGCTAATGAAAATGGTTCCAAACAAAGCCGGAGCAGAGCATCTGTGCATCTCAGAGAAACACAGCGGTGAATGATCTGCTTTTGAACAAACCATTCAATGATTCAATGATCCATTCATAAAGACGGTCACTTGCTTCGTTTCTAAATGAATCAGCTGGTTTGAATGAATTGTTTGAATGAATGATTCAATGAATCACTCATTAAGGTTTTAATGTAATTTATAAAGCGGAGAGTTCCGGTGCTTGACTCTGATTGGCTGAGCCGCGTTCGAAGCTGTTGTAAATTACGCTACAAAGTAACATACACCTTTGTTTACATTTGTGTGTTGCTCGGCAACCACTTTGTAGCAGCCACAACTGTTTCTGAGGAGCTACATTGTTTGGTGGAAGAATACTGTTTTTATTAATATCACTACACTTTATTTGCTCCGTTTTATTTTGTGAAACCTTACTACGTGCATGGATATAACTTCGCTTCGCGTCATGCCTAACAACGCCCCTTAGCTGGTATAAATTCACTGCAAACCACGGCTTCTTGGGGCTTATTGCTTTAATTTATTTATCCATGGCAGACCTTAACCAGGCAAAGTATCAGCAAAACACACTCCGCAAAATATCATTTAGTTATCATTATCAAAAAAATAGATTTGTCAATATCGCACACTCGGTGACTAAAAAACTCATGGCCAAAAGATGAATGCAGGCAATATTAAGATACATAATGCCATTTGTACAGGATTTTTTTAAAAATGAGGTCAGGAAAGAATAGATATATTTGTAAAAAATCAAGTATTTGGCCATTTTAGTATCAAGTATTTGACCGGCTAGTTTTCTGGTTGTTCTGATCGTCTGTCATTGGTTGGACAAACAGACGGGAGAGAGACTGAAGATCTGAACATCACTAGTGTTTGTACAGTACAGCTGACATATATCAAAAACACTCCTAGCCTCATAGAAGCATTACCATAAATAAAGCCTGAAATCCACTTGCATTTCCATTGAGAGGACCTGCTCAAGGAGATCGAGCAGAAGTCAAGCTAAATATCCTGCAGGGCCACCTTAAACCCTCAATAACAGCAGGATCGTGTACTTTCAACCCAGCGTAATGGCTATTTCATCACATCCATAAAAAGAATACACCTCTGTTTACATCTAGTGCCAGCACACCTTCAGGAAAGCAGCTATCTTTCAGCAGATAAATCTTACTTGTATTGTGTTTTTCCATTTCGTTATTCCAAAAGCCGGTTTTATTAGCAGGTAGGGCTTACACAAGTCAACTAGTCATCAGATTGTGTCAGAATTACCATAATTATGAAATGATAACTCATTCTTGGAAACTATGTGTTATTATGGCAACACTCATAACAATGGATCCATGTGTGGCTTTATGAATGATGACAGCAAAACATATCATAACTCCACTTCCTTTTGCAAAACTTTAAATAAAGAAAAGATCAATTGATCAAAAACATCTTTAAAGTTGTCCAAATGAAGTTCTTAGCAATGCATATTACTAATCATAAATTAAGTTTTGATATATTTGCGGTAGGAAATGTACAAAATATCTTCATGGAACATGATCTTTACTTAATATCCTAATGATTTTTGGCATAAAAGAGAAATGTATAATTGTGACCCATACAATGTATTGTTGGCTATTGCTACAAATATCCCCCAGCGACTTAACACTGCTTTTGTGCTGCAGGCTCACAAATAATTACAAAGAAATGGCTAGTAATTGAGTCCAACTTGAAATATTTAAGTAAAAAAACTGAAATAGTAATTCTTCTAAAACATACTCCTAAAAAAGAATATTGCGTTAAACAACATTATGTAGCATAACTGCCCAAAATCTATATTTAAAAAAGCTCTAACTAAAGTAAAGAAATACTGTTGGGTGAGTTTAAAGTTATTACGTTATTAAGTGCCTAAAACAACATTAGCTTTAAACAAACGTTAAGCCTTGGACTTGGGAGTTTTATTATGATGAATAGTGCCACTTTGATAAAACTGAATGACCAAACGAAACCATTTCTCAAGAATAGCATGACAAACACAAATACTCATGTCTTCAAGTTCAATCAATGGCTTAAACGGTTTCAAAGAACTGGGTGGCAATTGCAAAGCTACAAATAATGATGGACCGAAACAATGAGGCCTTAACCAGATCCTAATGCTGTGGATCTAATATGCAGAATATGTTGATCTCCACCCACAGCGAAGACGCTCTTATCGTTCTGAGCGCTGGTGATTATCCGAGCTCACGCACACTTCACAAGCACTACATGATCGCCGTCACACACTGCAGCCGTGTGCTTTCACGTGTTCTCCATCAATAATTAACAATCAAAGAGTTACCCAGCATTAACTAACGAGAGGACAAAACACCGTCAGAGAGACAGACAATCCAACTGATCTGCAACCAGCTCCATGAGAAATAAATACATTTGGAAAATATTTGGGGTGCATATATTTGCAAATATATGATAAATGATGTGGTGCATGTGAAATCTGGGCATGATTTGACTGAATTCAATTCAGTTATTTTGTTGATGATTTATGCATTGATTACACAGTTTATAATCTTAATGTGACGCATATGTGTCAGTTAAACAGCAAAGATATATGTACAATTTCTGTTATAGTAGTAATAAACGGAATGGGTTTTAAATACACAGCAACCAGGTTTATACATTTATCAACAATCCCATGCATTAAAAACTAACTGAATATTGTTTGTTGCAAAGCCGGACATATTCTAGCCATGTTCATGCTTGGATAATTTTCATTATTTTCACATTGAACAGATTATAAGCAATCTGAATAAATGCATTTTGAATATGATTGTTTACATTATATCAAATAGATGCAAATAGTTAATAATAAACTATGCCTAAGTGCAGAAATCTGACCTGTTTGTACTGTATGACTTACGGATATGCCTCACATTAAGTTTATTAGTTTATCTTAATACTGCGCAATTCAAAAAGATATGCAATTCAAATATATAAATCTTAAATATAACTGAATTGAATTGGGTCGAATCATAGCCAAATATTTTCACCCCAATTTGAACTTTATGAATAGGCCTAAATATTGTTTGTGTAGACATCAAAACACAAATTAAATGCAATCAATTTTCAAACCGAGTAAACAGGCCACACATTATATCTCGCAATCACTTCTTCTGGAATTATTTTGTGGCCGAGCAAAAAATAAAAACAAAATATTGTTTAAATCAGTAAATATTGTGTTTTCAGCATTACATTTTTAATTAAAATGTTAAGTGTTTGTGCAAATGTATTTAGAAATTATGGTAATATTCTAGATAAAAAATAAATACACTTTAAAAAAAAAAAGAGAGATAAATGAGAGTTGCGTACTCTTTCAGAGAATTTCAAACAAAGTCAAAAGAAAAAAAACGTGTTGATTACAATAATGAGAATGCTTAGAGATGCATGCTAAAATTATATTTTTACAAACTTTATGATCTCAAAAATGAAGTTATGCAATTTTATTTGTATGGATTTATTTATTTATTTTTCATTTTGGAGGGAGAAACGACCAGGGCATGTTTTCATGAGATCTGACCCATTCCAGTATTACTGTAGAGGTTATTAAGGTTGTACAGTATTTAACCCTTAGTCAGCCTGGGGACCCTGGATGTCACGCGGCATTTGAAACACCCCCATAGTTCACGACAAAAGGCAAATTCAGCGTTTCGTGTTGATTACAATAATGAGAATGCTAAAATTATATTTTTTACAAACTTTATGATCTCAAAAATTAAGTTATGCCATTTTATTTGTATGGATTTATTTATTTCTTTTTCATTTTGGAGGGAGAAACGACCAGGGCATGTTTTCATGAGATCTGACCCATTCCAGTATTACTGTAGAGGTTATTAAGGTTGTACAGTATTTAACCCTTAGTCAGCCTGGGGACCCTGGATGTCACGCGGCATTTGAAACACCCCCATAGTTCACGACAAAAGGCAAATTCAGCGTTTCGTACAGCAGGGCTCCTCTCCATCTAACCGAAACTGCAGCACATTCCAGCATCTTCCTACACAGTGACTCTGAGGGGCCCCTGAGGGCCCCGGGGCTGAACGCATGTGACCTGGATGCATTACTTCAGGTCAAGTCAATGCGTATCACCAGCACGCATGTTAGTACACGAAATACTGAGCTGCATTCATTTAGTCAAGTGTGCACAAGTGTTATCTCTTGATCGGGTCATAAGGTTTTTTATATCTTAAATATACACCCTTTTTTATAAATGTAAATGAGTTCTAAGACAGAAAAAAATTTATGATAATTTGTTTTGTGTTGTGTGTGTGTGTGTGTGCGTGTGTGTGTGTGAGAGTACATCAGAGTCAATGAGAAGATGATTCTTTGTATTTGTAAATATTATATGTTTTTGTTATGAATGCTAACTGTCATAACTAAACAGGTAGTAGCCAATTCTTAAAACTTTTTAAAACCCTACTACACTCAAGGCTTGGGCTATGAATATTAATTACGCAAATGACGTTCACCAAGCGGGCCTCGCTGATTGGCTGGAAGACAATAGCGACAGCGAATCTGGAAGAGGCTTGTTTGTGTTGTGTTGTGTGTGTGTGTGTGTGTGTGTGTGAGTACATCAGAGTCAATGAGAAGATGATTCTTTGTATTTGTAAATATTATATGTTTTTGTTATGAATGCTAACTGTCATAACTAAACAGGTAGTAGCCAATTCTTAAAACTTTTTAAAACCCTACTACACTCAAGGCTTGGGCTATGAATATTAATTACGCAAATGACGTTCACCAAGCGGGCCTCGCTGATTGGCTGGAAGACAATAGCGACAGCGAATCTGGAAGAGGCTTGGCTTATGAATATTAATTAAGGTCATTAGTATAGACTATTATTCATGACCTAATCCTTTGCCGTGGTAGAAGTCGTAGTTTCGTTTCGCTGGCTGTCCAACAAGTTTATTAAGATCGAAACTCACCTTATAAACTTTTCCGAAAGCGCCATCGCCCAGTTCCCCGATAATTTCCCAAATATCGTTCGGATTTACATCCCGATGAACGTGCTCATATTGTTTGGTTTTCTTCTTCACTTCAATTGTAGGAAGTCGGAGGATCTTGCTGAATTTTGCAAAAGCCATTTTAAATAATAGAGACAGCAAATGCTAAAAAATACAGATGATGTAGTCGGTGGATTAGTTAACTAATTCACTAGTCAAAAAAAACAAAAAAAACGTGTGAGCTGAGAACTGTCCAACACTCCACGCAAGTAGACACCTTCATCATTTAAAGAAATAA